TCTTGTCAATGTGACATCGCGTGTTGGTCTTGATGATTCTCCTGACATCTTGACTATGATGTTGAGAGGCTGCTGTGAGGAGATTGATTGCTGTAAAATGGGAACGAGGTCTTCAATCCAGGTGCTCTTTCACTTGGTTGATGTTGTTCTGGATCTGTTGAACTGTTGCTTCAATTTCTGCTTCCAAAAATGAGTTGACCATTTACCAGAAGAACACTTCGTGTTTACTGGGTGTTATTACAATGATCAGTGGTGTTGGTAAAGGAGCTGGATGTAACTCTCGATCTACTCCCTTTCCTTTGTTTGCCTTCCGCTTGTTGTAATCTGCGCACGAGATTTGATTTTCTTCGTCTTTCGGTGTTGCTTTGATCATGATTTCTGATTTTGTGCTTTGAGCGTCTGCTGCTGTTCCGATTGTTTTATGGGTGCCGCTGCAGTTGTGTTCACAGTAACAAACTTCCTCGTCCTGGCAATTGACGTGGAGACCGTGGTACTTAGTCCAAAATTTTTTAAATACTGAATTGTCAATTTGGAGTCCTCCTCCGTTTCTTGCGGCTTCAGTCCAGTAGCTATTCCAAGGAGATACCGCTTGTGGTACTTTCCAGAAATACTCTTCAAGGGGTTCTGTGGTTTCGAAGATGATAGTGTCGATACTATCGAAGGCGTTGAGCGGTTCTTTCTCAAAAAGGTTCCTGGTTTGACCAGCTAGGTCAAAGAAATTGATTCCGGATTGTTGGGGCTTGTTGCTGTGGTATGCTGGCATTTAAAACAGCGTGGATCCTTCGCGTCGATGTTTCCACAGGCACACAATGCAGGAGTGTCTCCAAAAGCTGTATACTGTGAGGTTGTTTTCGAAGTTTCCAACTGATTTAAATACAGAGCAGAGGGGGTTGCAAGGTCTGTGGCAAAAGTAACAACCGCTTTGGTGGTGATAACGGCACATATACTGAATTATAACCAGTAGAATCGATTGTGGACTTGTTCTTCTTTCAAGGTTTCAAGACTCGGAGTTCTAGGGGTTATAAAAACCACACTACAGCCACAGTGATTGCGGGTACTGCGTAACAGGCAAGAGACTCGAATTCCGGAATTACAGATGTGCACAAAGACCGGTGCCAAAGCTATTGATTGTATTGTAGACTAGAGAACGAGTAAAGAACAAACCTATCATCCGCTAAACCATTGCTCTTATATACAACTAACGCGACCGTCGTCACCTTTACTCACTCGTTCCAAAATACATCCAAACCCTACCCAACTATGTACACAGCCCTTTCAATCCATAAACCACATCATAACCATCATGCCATATTTACAATGCAACCAACAAAACTTGATTTCCCTCCAACAAAACCTGATTCTTTCTTTGCATCCCGTATTCTTTATATACCCTCCATCGATCGTCACTGTTCCTCCAATCCTCACTCGACACAACTGTGACACTTCCCATACGCTGCTTGTTTTCTTCCTCTTCTCTTCTTTCTTCCGCCTCAGCATACCAGCTTTCATACATTCTGAACAACTTTTCACCATCAAGTCCATCGACTTGTTGCTGATTGGTGGCTCCTTCATCTGGGCGACTGTTGACTCTAACATCACACACGTTGTCGCAATATTGTTTACCATTCTGTGTAGATTGTTTAGCTTATTGTCCACAATCTCACCTGCATTGTTGTACACCTTGGCATAATCGGGCCATTCCTGGGAAAGGATGTGATCGACTTTTGCTTGGACATCGGCTATCACTGCCTTGCTTTCTCCAACTGCTTCCATCATTTTCTGCTGAGAATCCACGGATCTGGCTACTTCCACCATGTGTCCTGCGGATTTCTTCCTCTGTGGTATGTAGAGGAGTCTGTTGGTTGGCTTCTTGTACACACCCTCCTTTTTTTGTTGTGCTGCCTGCGCTGTTGGCGACACTAGCTCCTCATCTGAGTTGTCGCTTTTTGATTGGTCGTCGCTGCCACCCTCTCCATGAAGGAGACTGGGGGGCAAAATGTTCAGGGTCTGTGGGATTCCCACCTCCTGGTGGTATCTGCGAGCGATTATGCTGCTGCCAGGCTGGTTGAACATGTTCATGGGCCTGCGCGGGAGCTGTCTGGGGGTGCTTTCCAAGGATAAAAGGGGGGAGGAATCGGCTGTCCCCTGTTGATCCTGTTCTGTTGTATTGTCACCAGCCTCCGTCATGGTGTCGTCTTCTTGGATCGCAGGTTCGGTGGCCTCGTGGTCCATTTCTTCTGTGTTGGTGGTTATGGCTCCATCTGGGAACGAGCCATAGTTCGTCTCCTGTGTGGGTGTAGTGGGCACATCTGTGGGGAAGGTGTCAAGGTTTCAAGACTCGGAGTTCTAGGGGATATAAAAACCAAACTATGCTGCAGTGATCGCAGGTACTGCGTACAGGGCGAGAGACTCGAAATCCGGAATCACCGAAGTGAACAAAGATTGATGCCGAAGCTATTGATTGTTATGTAGACTAGAGAACAAGTGAAGAACAAACCTATCCTCCGCAAATCCAGCGCCCTTATATACAACTAACACGACCGTCGTCACCTTTACTCACTCGTTCCAAAATACATCCAAACCATACCCAACTATGTACGCCACCCTTTCAAAATGTAAACCACGCCATAACCATCACGCCATATTCACAACGCAACCGTCGAAACCTGATCCCTTCCACTGATACCTGATTCCTCCCACCAAAACCTGTTTCCTTTTCTTCAAAACCTGATTCCTTCCACCAAAACCTGATTCCTTCCCCCGAAACCTGTTTCTCTTCGTATTCCCCTATACCCTTCTTCGATCCATACTCTTCCTCCGATCCTTACTCGACACAACCGTGACCGAAGGACCCGTAATTCGTTTGGGTTGGTGTGGTTGGCACTCCAGAAGGGAGTGAACTGTAGTCGGTGGTGGTTTGGGAATCGACCTGTTGCTCAGTGCTCATGGTGTTGGCGATTTCCATGTTGTCTTTGGCTTTTTGAAGCTTCTTGAGGAAAGCTTGCCTGTCGACTTGTTTGGGAGGGAATCCAGACTGAGAGGGTCCGGATGAAGACATTTTAAAGCGCTTCTAGGGACTATTCTAGCAGAATAGCTGAAATCCGAAGCCTAAGATTTCTGAAGATAATCGTTTTGATTAGATGAAAGAGGGCTTGGCAAAATCAAGCGGTGGTGTGGTGCGTTGTCGGAGGTGTGTCTGGGGGGTGTAGGTCAGCTGGTGAGATGCTTCTGATCGTATTCCCGGGTTGATCCTCGTTCTTACAAGTGTGATATATCAATATAGTGGACTCGAACAAACGATTACTCTACACATAGCTACCTACAAAATTATATTAGCCAGTAAGGGCGACAAATCGGGCGTGCTGCCGTCATTCCGGTATTTAGTCCTGCATACAGGATCACTCGATGATATGCGCCTTTCCAGGCTGTGAGTATCGCTGTGCGACGTCAGCGCCACGAACTCACCGACTATACAATTGTCATGTTTGCTCTGGCTATATCTTCCCCGACTTTACACCCAATTCCTCTTCAAAGCTATGCTGCTATGGTGCAACGTAAAAGCCACCACGTACCACTATTGCACCATCCAATTAATTGTTCCAATAAAAGACAGCAAACGAGGTTTCGAAAGTTGCCAGGTTTATGTACATGTGGGATGGCTACCCGATATGTATGCCAATATATATATAACCACAACTTATCGTTTCCCCACAGTGCCCGAATTTCTCCATCACCATTCTAAACACACCATACGAAAAGAAACTAGTCCTCGTTTCTACTGGAGATTCCCTCGCCGTTCGCAAGCTCCCACCTCGAACGACTGGTATATACCAGTACAGGAGAAACAGTCACAGCAGACATGCCATCCTACAAAGAATCCACCCCCCTCCTGCCAACTGACACCACGTCCACCACCATAGGTTCCTCCGAGGCTCTCGGTCTCTGCAACTGGCTTCAAACCTGCGGCTTTGTGGCTGAAGAAACCGTCCCAACTGACATCAAAGCCGTCATCGTCGAAGCCGAGGGTAATTTTTCACAAATACCAGTTTTCTGGCAGGTAGTATCTTTACTCTCGTCCCTACGATGATTGCAACTCACCATTAATCTAGCGTGTCTATATCTCCAGCTCGGTCATCTCCAGCTTCAACTTACTGATCATCGTAGCCATGTTCGTCGCATTACCTGGGTCCGGCATTGGGACACCGCTGGCGATTTACAGTATTTTTGCCAGCGTGCTCGCGTTTGTCGGGGTTCTTATTGTGGGAACGTACCATGCCACGAAGGGTCATAAACTTGTTCCCACGTGGGTTTGCAAGATTGCTTTTGGTGTCGTTTTGACTGTTTTATTTTCCCACATGATTATCATTATCGCTCTTTTCGCGGTGATGGCGGAAAAGGTTGATGGTGGATTGGTGTTGGGAATATATTCTCTTGTTCTTAGTATTTTGCTATTTTGGGGCTGGGTTTTTGGAGGAGTTATTATGTGGGGTTGATGAGGAGAATGAGGGCGAGGAGATATGGAATCATCGTGGAGAATGAAGAGAGTGGCTTTTCGCGGTGGTTGAGGCCTAAATGTGAAAGAGGGAGAGTTATGTGAAAGAGGGAGGAGGAGTAGTAGTCTAATAGACTAGAGAAGGAAATGGGGTTTCTATTCTACTTTGTCGACGTCTATTCATTTCTTGAATTTGTTAATTTACACGGGGATTAGATCTAGACCTAGCCTGATAAAACTTTACATAGTTATAGCAAGAAGAAACATCTAGGTGAGTCCTACCATCTTCGCTCACATCGACTAAACCTGTGCCGAATATAGAATAGTTGCATTGATTGGTTAGTTTTTAAACTACGAAGACAGACACCTTTTCTTTTCGCTGCCGTTATCTAGAAGACCCGCAAGACCTCCCCCATAACAATTCTCAGCTACACTTAATCGAGATACAGGCGCCAAAAATCGGAGGCAGATACGACTGATGTGAAATGGAAGCAAAACGATAGTAAAATGTCCGGTGCGAGGATCGAACTCGCGATCTTCGGATTTCCCTCACTAGGTGAGAATCATTTCATATGAGACCGACGCTCTACCAACTGAGCCAACCAGACATTAATGGCGTATTACGTGAATTGTGCATATTTGATACACTTGACAGAACAAATCTCTTTCAGAATCCCATTTACTTGTGACTGAAGCATCCCGTAATCGTCTGTATCTCACTAGGTACACCTCGAAGCTTACTATTCTCACATGACCATGTTTCCCTGCAATCATCATTATACATCACAAAACGTTACTCGAGATCCATCCTCACGTAGTGCATGTGTAACCTTCAATGTACGCTGAAGAAGCGCCTTAGCAAGCCCTATGTCTGGGAAGCCTTATTTCTTGGAAACCTTATTTCTTGGAAGCCTTATTTCTGGGAAGCCTTATTTCTAGGAAGCTTTATTCTTGGGAATCCTTACTAGTCTCTGTAGCGTATACTTCGCTTGTCATCACACACAATCCACCCAGCCATGCGTTTTGATTCCCCGTCGGCGACTTTGTCGCTGTCATTTCCAAAGAGCTCAGCGCGCTTTCAGAGAGCACTGGCAACTCTCCTCACTACCAAGAGCCCATTTCTACGCTGTACAGCTATCAACGCTCAGTTCTGGAGGCAGAACATATGGTGTATGCGGTCAATAAGGTGCAGATTGTTATTTGGGTTATGACTTGGTTTGAAGTGGTGAGCGTGAGAGCACAAATACGGAGTCTGGGAGAGCAAGAGATTAACTGTAGCTCCCCGTTTTTTTATTGTCGGATTTAACAATGGTCCGCTTCTCATTCTAGATTGCAGGAAGACATTTTGTATAGATTTGTTGGGTGAATGCACCTTTTCAAGGTTTGAAAGTCTAAATGGCCATGTCCCAACAGCGTCGCTCTGCTGATATTTACACTCTTCCAACCACTTGCACTGGTAGCAGTTCGCCATGCCCAGGAGTACAAAAAGAAGGTATACAGTAGCTACCGCAGGGTCTCTGCTGCTTTGAAACTTTAAAAATACACATTCTGAATTCGTTGCTACCGAGATCATTTAAAGTTTCCAGGTGCACATCTAAATTCTCCCTTCGCTCCTTATTGACCGCATGCGCCATATCTACCGGCTCCGGGAGCTTCGTACAATAGTCACTACGCACCGAGACAAGACAGGAAGACGATCATGGTTTACTTGCCCAGCGAACAGTGCTAGACAATCTTAGGTTTTGGCTTCAGCACCTAGCAGGTCCTGAATGACCCTAACTCGATTGCAAGTACAGTCTTAAAGCTTGTCCAAAATTGAGATATGCGTGTTGCTCCCACATTGTACATAGAATACATTGATCTCTATAGGTATTTCATACTATACTCCGCGCGCAGTTTCAACAGTTTTCGGGGGAGCGGCCCGTTCAGAAAGGAATATATGAGATCAGCCATGGGGGGCGCCGCTTAACCAATGCCATCTGGGAAACATCAATTCTACCAGGAATACGTTTGAAAATGTATATGATCATTAAGCGGGAGATTGATCGCGATCAAATATATAGATGCCCAAACGTTGACTGCAAGGAGCTGAATACAACACCGGAGGTTGCGGCTTCCGCGGGCCTAAACTGGTACGTTTCTTTCCCGCCTTTTTCTAGGTTGGCATACATGACAATGTCACATGTATAGAAAGAACTGTAGGATTTGGATCCACATCATCAAAGGAAACAGAGTTGAGGAATGGGGTGATGAACCAGAAGATACAAGCTTAACCAAAGGAATATCGCACTAAGATGAGGACATGCGGCACTTTAAACGTATCAGCACAATTAACAACCTTACGAAGCAAGTGGTGCCGTCTCCTCGGAGTTCCAATAAAGCTAAACTTCAGGTTTCTGGCGGAGGATTGCAAGTTTGATATTGTACATAAGCCTCCTAAATTCAAGAACCAAGTGAAAGTGGGTTGAGGCTTGCTAATGGCCTGTATTACTGTAGCCATCTTGTATGTGCGGATTTTTTAATTCGGACAGCAATAAGAGGTGTCCATTTTGTGGGCCGCATGAGTTCAGGTAAATTGGCAATCATAGGAACAATGTTACGGTAAAGAATCGCCCTGAATATAAATTTATCATTTGAAAGCTGCAATTAGGGAGTATTTTGGGGTGGCTATATTATAGAATGTTTTACATCAATTATGTTTGCCATTCACCTCAAATAAAGCCCTAAAAGTTATGGACGCTTCGGAGAGGACTCAGCACAGTAGCATTGAACTCGTTTTAAGGAACAATCCGCTGGTGCATAGAGTTAGCGGCTATTGTACTAGAATTGTACAGTCTTTCACAAAATCAAAATTTGTGGCAGACAAGACAGTAATCATTCGTGGCCCTCTTGTTGGGTATCTAGATCTGACACACCCATCACCGTGACAGCTGGGTCGCTCCGGTCCAAATTACTTTTCTAGGGCTGGTAAAAATGAAGTACAGATAACTCTGTAGAGAGGTATATCTCCTTTGCCTTGATATACGAAGGGAAGGATAAAAACGCAGTCCTGGATAAATTTGTTCATAAGTACTTAAGTATGTAGCTAAGTTCACAAAAAGACGTGCGCCAGGTACCTAATTTATATTCATACTGTGTCGTGCATAAAGGAACAAACGTAATCAGTAATAAGGGGTGTTAACGTTTTGTTCGTTAATATTCCGCAATTTTAATCGGACATCAAGCAGTCTTCATTCAACAATTAATCACCCACCGCAGTTTGGTGGTGAGCAAGTCTTAGCAACACAAATTTTGTATAATATAATTCAAATTTTTATAGAAGCAAAACTGTCCATAACAATGTCTGGTTGGCTCAGTTGGTAGAGCGTCGGTCTCATATTTAGTCTTGATATGACTTTCACCCAGTGATAGGAATCCGAAGATCGCGAGTTCGATCCTCGCACCGGACATCTTTTGGCCTTGAACCTTCTCAATTAATATTTATTTAAATTTTTGTCGTGGCTAACAAAATTGTGAGAATCAGTAGCGGGCAAATGTAAGACAACTCAGTCCAGACCCTGTAGTTCCGGGAATTTGTCGAGAGGCTAGCAATCAATTAGGCGATCCTGTTAGAACTCCTGCATCTGTTGCAGGTCCGTCAAACGGGAGAACAGAAAGTATCACTGCAACCCAATTAGCAAGGAACTGGTAAATTTTCATATGAAGTATCGTGCCCGCTCTGTACAGTATTTGGTTGGATCAGCGAGCCAAGCTCCCAGCATCTCGAGTATCCTACTACCTCTTTATCCTAGCCTCTTGAGCGTCTCCTAGCCATCGCTAAATAACAAGATGAGATATCCCGGAATTCGTGTTGCAATACGGGGAGAATCGTGCGTATAGACTATGATACAGAGAGAATAGAGAAGGAGAAAGACTGGAGTTATATACAAGAGAGTGGTGCCTTGTGCCCTACCGGATGCACTACCATCAACTGGTCAGCGCCGTCATCGGTCAAGTCAACAATTCGTGTTACTTTGAGTGATGAATAGATGCTTGATTATTGTATCAAAAAGGCCATGAAGGCCATATATATACAGTACTCCAGAGAGCAGGTGTGTACACTCCATCAATCTATAGATAGGGCTGAGCCTTGTCAGCCTGTATCATCAGTGAGTATCCATAAGTCTTACAAAGGATGACTTTATGGATATATCCATAAGCCATATAAAGACTGACTATCTAAGCATATTTGTAACATATACAATACTTCCCCCTCTTTCTACAGTTTGTAGGATGACCAAATGATATCCTGCAGTACTTTATTGATATCCTCCTTATTTTGATAACTGTAATAGATAGGGAAAGAGTACAACTGTAGCCTGATAAGAGGTGGCTGTCATTGTTGTGCTGAGCAAGGATCGATGGTGGAGTGATAACCAGTGAGAAATAGAAGAGTTATGTACTATGAGAATGAAATTAGGTTTTGAATGGAAAGGGTTGAGTTTTAAACGGAAAGAATCAGATTTTACAGAAAGAGTAGACATATTGCAAAAGTGATATATAAAGATAGCAGAAGTTAGGATGTATAATGGAACTAGTGTTAGCAACGGTTCCAATCCGGAGCCTCCGGGTCGGGTCCGGGTTGGAACCGACCCGTTTCCAAATCAACAGTTCGGGTCGTCAGTAGAACCGAACCAGAAAGAACGGTCCAGGTTGACTCCACATTTTGGAACCGCCCAAATTCCTGGGTTGTTAGACGGGTCCAAAAGCGGGTTCATACTATTGCACATGCGACTTTTGATATTCTCAATTGACTCGAATAAGCGATTTTTATTTGCAATTTTGCCCGTCATTAAACTCGCTTCAGTTAAATTCAATATTATAACTACAATTTATTAAATATGTATCATAACCTGGTAGATTAACTTTGTAACAAGAAGAAAGACGGCCAAAACTATGTTTACACTTAAGATGTAGTCAATTCCCGTATGTTGTAGTATGTGTCAATTACCACAAATATTTTAGTATCAATAATTTCTATTATTATATTATTGCCTACCTTTCACACATTTTATTCATATCTATTTAATCTTACCTTTAAAATTAACTTGAAAAATGCGGAAATAATATTACAATGGGCCCAGCATTTGTGTTTCTCTAATATACTATCTTAACAGTCTTTTCATTATATATGCATGAAATATATAACATTTTTCAATAGTGACCAAGAAAATTGCAAAATAAAAGATACCTATACTCCATTACAAGAAACAGAAAACCAAAAGAAATATAAAATAATGATCACCACTCTACCGTCGTTTATTCCCTTTCTTATTGCGTTTTTGCTGTGTGTTGACGGGCACAGGGTCCATAACGATCAGAGTTGCTGTGCGATTGGACTTTCGAACTGGCCTAATAAAGCCTGCGATGTTAGGGGCAGCATGTACATATGGCTGTTCTGCCTCATCAATCCCATCAGATTCATTGCATATATCCATATCGTCTTCATCGTCAGCCTCTCCATCGTTTTCATCATCATTTGGATCGTCCAAGTCACCATTCCAATGGAGCCAATCATCAGTATCAGAATTTGTTTTGGAAGAACTATCATCATCACTTTGGCTAGGATGGCGATCGATCCTACATATTCGTTGGATGTTGAGAACTTTGATTTTGCCACCAGGGAGGTCGATCTGTGATAAGGACGGTGGAAGTGGAGATTTTTCAGTCATTTTGAAAGCTGCAACACCATCATGTTCAAAGGCTGACCATGATGCTTTAACTGTCTCTTCAGTGTCTGAAATGTAATCCATGGCAGTCATTTGCTTATTCTGGGCGCGTGATGCCTTCTGAGTTGCGCGTAGGTGTTCACTGCCCTGCCACATCTCCAAAAAGTCATGAACCTTGGCCTTCCGATGCAGCTTTCTTTCCTCAGCGTCTTTCTTGATTTCAGAATCGTTATCAGATATTGATGAATCTATTTGTGATGTATCACCGGCCAAAAGACCGAGATTACTTCTTGCAAACTGCCAAACAACCACTTTTTCTCGAAGTGTTTCACCAGTAGTTTTTGACTGCCTCCACCCTATGACATCTCGGCCAAGTGAAAAGCTGGCTTCCACTCCAACCCCGTGTGGCATGATTGAAAAGATGTCCCGTGCTATATTGGCTAGATCGGTATACTTCAGGTTCATCTTTTCTTGCTGTCGCCACCAGTCGGTTACGTCGGATATCCAGAAAGCCCTGCTAATCTCGGTGGGGTCAGAATGATAATCATTAAGATTGGGAATAATTTGTCCCCAATTTTTAGGTATCTCGGGTGGTGAATTCAAATAGAGTGTAGTGCCCGTCAACAAACGTGCTGCGCGATCGCTACGCCCGGCAGTACATTCCGCCGTGTTTGCAGGTGTAAAATACTCATCATCACTGCACAAATCATATGCATCATAAGTCGATTGACCTGGCCCCGACACTGCGATGGAGGCGAATAAGTTATGATTCGGTACTGGTTGAGGTTTTCCGGTGGTCTTAAATTGGTTTTTGGTGCAGTATTCGTGCTCTACATATTTTATGAATGCATCCTTGTACTGGGCAGTGAAGGAATCCTGATCCTCAGGATTAACATCCATAGCCTTGTCCCACTTCCGAAATGATCGCAACATCCAAAAAGGATCGAGGATTTGTGCTTCAATGAGGAGCATGCCTGTCTCTGGTGTTACTTCGGAGTAATATTTGGACAGCTTTTGGCGTGCAAACTTCAAAGCAAAGTATAGATCCTCTTTCCACTGAGTTTTCTTCTTTGCCAATGTCACAGTTGTGTCGAGTGAGGATCGAGGGAGGAATATGGATCAATGATTGGTATACAGGAATACGAAGGGAATCATGTTTCGTGTGTTAGAATCAGATTTCGTTCGTTGGAATCAGGTTTTGTTGGTTAGAATCAGGTTTCGTTCGTTGGAATCAGGTTTTGTTGGTTGGAATCAGGTTTTGTTGGTTGCGTTGAAAATATGGCGTGATGGTTATGGCGTAGGCCGCGGACTGAAAGGGTTGCGTACATAGTTGGGTGGAGTTAGAATGTATTTTGGAACCAGTGAGCAAAGGTGACGACGGTTGCGTTAACTGTAAATAAGGATGCTGGATTGGTGGAGGATAGGTTTGTTCTTCACTCGTTCTCTAGTCTACAAAACAATCAATAGCTTCGGCACCAACCTCTGTTCACTACTGTGATTCCGGATTTCGAGTCTCTAGTTTGTTACGCAGTACCCGCGATCACTGTATCCTCCTGTTTGGTTTTTATATCCCCTAGAACTCCGAGCCTTGAAACCTTGACAGAAGAAGGAGTCTACAATCGATTCTACCGGTTATAATTCAGTATATGTGCCGCTACTTTCATCAAAGCGGTTGTTACTTTTGCCACAGACCTTGCAATCCCCTTTGTTCCGTGTTTAAGTCAGTTGGAAACTTCGAAAACAAGCTCACAGTACACAGCTTTTGGAGACACTCCTGCGTTGTTGTCACGGTTGTGTCGAGTGAGGATCGAAGAAGGAATAAGGATCGATGAAGGGGAAAGGGAATACGAAGGAAAACAGGTTTCGATAGAAGAAATCAGGTTGTGCTGGAAGGAATCAGGTTTTGTTGATTGGAATCAGGTTTCGTTGGCAGGAATCAGGTTTTGTTGGTTGCGTTGTAAATATGGCGTGATGGATATGGCGTAGGCCGCGGGTTGAAAGGGTTGCGTACATAGTTGGGTGGAGTTAGGATGTATTTTGGAACGAGTGAGCAAAGGTGACGACGGTCGCGTTAACTGTATATAAGGATGCTGGATTTGCGGAGGATAGGTTTGCTCTTCACTCGTTCTCTAGTCTACAAAACAATCAATAGCTTCGGCACCAACCTTTGTTCACATTCTGTGATTCCGGATTTCGAGTCTCTTGCTTGTTACGCAGTACCCGCGATCACTGCAACCCGCACAATACCTGTGTCATAGTTTGGTTTTTATAACCCCTAGAACTCCGAGCCTTGAACCCTTGACAGAAGAACGAGTCCAAAAATCGATTCTACCGGTTATATTTCAGTATATGTGCCGCTAGTTTCATCGAAGCGGCTGCTACTTTTGCCATAGACCTTGCAATTCCCTCTGTTCCGTGTTTAAATCAGTTGGAAACTTCGAAAACAAGCTCACAGTACACAGCTTTTGGAGACACTCCTGCGTTGTGTGCCTGTGGAAACCCCGACGAGAAGGATCCGCGCTGTTTTAAATGCCAGCATACGATAAACACAAACCACAACAATCCCGAATCAATTTCTTCGACCTAGCTGGTCGAACCCTCAACCTCTTCGAACAAGAACCCCTGAACGCCTTCGATAGCATCGACGCTATCCTCAACGAACCCGAGGAACCTTTGGAAGCATACTTCTGGGACGAACCACAAGCAGTATCTCCTTGGAATAGCTACTGGACAGAAGCAGC